TTTTGGTGGGAGTGGTAAGACCACAGCTAGAAGGGATACGGAAAAGCAATCCATGGCACCACATTGTTGTTAGGTGCCAGCAGGTTGTTTCCAATTCACAGTGACCCTATCTATGTACAGCAGAACCAAACACTGCCTGGTCCTGCGTGAATGGTAGCATCACTAGGGGAGTGCAGGGGATGTGGACCACAACCCCTGACACCATCAGATGGGGTGACACCAGAATGATCCCAGGGTCTGCAGCGGTGCTGGTGGTGGCAGCAGCGGCCAGGCCCAGGCCTGCGGTGGTAGGGACGGGTGAGCCAGTGCTGCAGGGGGCGGGGTTGCCAAGGCAGTGACGTCACTAGGGTTGGTATCATCCATCACTCAATTCCTGAACCATTGTCTCCTCCACCCCACAAGTCAGGATGTGGGAGGGCTGGCCCTGTGACCGATATTGGGAGCAGAGGAGGGTCTCCGCCTTGACCAGTGGTAGAGGGAAGGGGCCGAGGAGAGCCTCAGGGGCTGAGTCTGGGAGGGGCTGTGTGGTGCTGCACTCTGCCCTGCGGGGGTGCAGTGCAGTGATTTACTTCATCTGGCTTTTCTAGGCATAGTCTTTGTAGCTCCCACTGGATTACTGGGTGGGACCATGCAAATAAAATGTGTACAACTCTGATGTTGGGATTGGTTAGTTTTGTCACTCCGCCAGGCTTAAAGCGAGCCCTCCTAGAGGCAGAGAGGGGCTCTCACTGCCATCAAGAGAGAAGAGCCAGAGATGGAGCAGAGTGCATCCTCGGACTCGAGACCCCTGTGCTGGACCTCCTCGACAGAGATGCCTGGGAGAGAGAGACTCCCAGCAGAGACACAGTCACAGGGGAGCCCAGAGGCATGAGACAGAGCGGCGGGCTCACCCGGCCCACAGAGCAAGAAAGGCAGAGGCCAGGCCGAGGGGCCAAGGGCAAGTGGGGTGTGTCTGAGAGCACAGCACAGGGGAGACTGTCCTTATTGAAGAATTGTATCCTAAGTGTGTTCCTGAGCCTGAATTGTATCCTGTTACTTCCCAAATAAACCCCATCATTGTGAGTATTGTCATTGAGTTCTGTGTGGCCACTGCAATGCATTAGTGAGTTGGATTGCAGAGAAGTAGTGAGTACCATGGAAGGGATGGTTGGTGTCAAAGTTGGTAAAAGGCTGGAGGGTGGCAGCATGTCTGGCCATTTAGGGATCAGCCTTGGGCTGCTGATGGTGATTCAGTCTTCCTCTTGTAAAGTCCTTTTTGAAGGGGGGATGGGTGGCACCAGGCCACTCCACCCACAGATGTGACACTATGAATTACCATACTGGGCGTCACCAACCCTGGTTTCACTACTGGATATGTTTGAGCCCACTGTTGCAACCACTGTGGCATCTCTCTTGTTGAGGGTCTTTTCTGCTATCAGGCATGATGACCTTCTCCAGTGACTGGTTCTGCCTCATAACATGTTCAAAGTACATGAGATGGTCTCACCATCCTTGACTCTAAGGAGTATTCTGGCTGTACTTCCTCTCGGACAGACTTGTTT